CTAAATATTGTTTTTGACACATGTTGCTCAGCGATGCAGCACTTAGAATGGTGTGCAGTCTTAGGCTTTGTTAGACGAGTCACAACCAATGTCGTTTGGTAGATTATATTAATCACCCTGTCTTGGATGGCTCAGCTCTTGGAAGGCAAGTGTCAGCTAATGTGTGTTTAAATGAGACTGCTTAAAACATGCCACTTATTGGCCAATCTGTGCTATTTATGTTTATTTATGTTAAGTTACAAACAGTGTTTATTGTTTTCCAGTAACCTCAAAATTGTTGCTTGACTTAATTGAGCAAAACCACAACTAACAACAGGTTTCCCTCACTGTAAGGTTATAAACACTAATAAGGAGTTGGTGTCGTATTATAGTGCCCTTTCAAAGCTCTGTAGAGAGGTGATAAAGCTTTAGAGTGTAATCTTCTCTCATTTAAAAACTCAGAACAGAATGTTCAAATTGATGTTTAATTTGAATCTTGCCCAAATCGTGTTTACTGTCTAAAAGACTATGTTCAGGGTCTATGCATCAAACCGTTTTCAATTAGTACTACCACATCCTTGATAATGCAATTATATTCTCAATTTTATATTCTCAATCAATGTTAATTTTAGTATTGTGATATGACAAAACAATTAGGTGATAAAATGTAAAAACAGAAAGGTAACAATTTCTTCATAGATTTTCTGCCAAATCTGGAAAGAATGCTGGCATGAGAAAGGCTATGATTTTCATAAAACACTTGAATTGTGTTTCCTTTCATTTGTAGTCATTAATAAATGGCAAACGGTACCCTGTGACATTGTAACAGCTCAAACACCATACAAAATTGTCCCGGGTAATCTATCCTCAGCCAAGATGTTTAAATGTAGTCCCACTTGAACTGACCTCACAATACGCTTGCTCTGATTCACTCCATTGTGCATGAATGACTCAGGTAATCCCCCCCTCGGTGTTTAATGAGGGCCAACGCCATCGCGAAACCTGTGATTTCAATATTGAGTGGCAAGACATATGGTTCTACATGCTAATGAGTACATATACATAGTAACAGACTCACGCAGGACTTCACCTATCTATCTGCTGCAATACGATGGGATGCTGGGCTATTCTGAACATAAAGCTTTGCAATAAAGGGATTCATTTTTTTTAATCTAATATTTCGGGGACCAAAGAATGTTGGACTAGCTCCGCAACAAATTATTGTGTTTTACAATTTGCTTTTATGGACTCTAATAGAAAGTTAAGGCCAATTTTATTATCATTTTTTTCGGTTTATGTGATATGGACATCAGCTCAAAAACCTCAAATTAAATTTGAAATCCATGTCATCTTTATTTTCAAACAATAACAAATATTACTTCACATTGCAAAATCAGACAGAAACTCTAGAATATGTCACTTAGAAGAAGGAAAAAACATCCCAGTATTTTTTGCATTTGTTTAGAGTGGTTTGTAAATAAAGTCAAAAGTAGTTACTGCAGTAGACAGTATATTCTAGGATTTACAGAGACTGTCTTTAAGAATCTATAAAAAATATTAAATATATCATTTATTATTTGAGATAAAGTAAATGTAAATTTGTTTCAGCCTATTTAGAGTAAAGGTTTACATGTAAGAGTGACATTGTTGCATATTTTCTGTACTGACACAAGATTGCACTTGTCCAACTTGAACTACAAACAAATCCGTTACTTTTGGAATCAGCTGTGCTGTGGTGCTGCCAAGGTTAAAATACATTTATTCTGTCTGGTTTCCCAGGAAACTGTTCAGATAATATGAAGACAGTCCGTATATGTTTTGGATGGGTTATACATGATCAACGCTATTTACATGAACATAGACATGTCTAAACATTGACAGACCAGATCTCACCTTGAGAACTACACAAATACAGATTATTTAGGAGCAAAAACCAATAGCCATCATTCAATTGAAATGTGAAAAAAACAGTGTAGAACAATAAAGGACTCCTTTCTTTTTCGTCCATTGCTAATCAATAAAATGTTAACAAAGAACTGGGTTTGTTATCTCACTGAGCTGAGACCCTCTGGTTGAACAGATAGTCACACAGTACACACTGTCTATCAAGGCAGTACACACTGTCAATCAAGGCAGTGCACACGGCATGCAGCACTCCTTTCAGTTTTTTAGAATATCTCCTGAGATTGATACCTATAAATCTCAGAATAATTGTAATGTACATCTCTGACCAGCAATAGCACAACAGCAACGATGGCCGCATAAGCTAAGTCTTCTAAACCATGGGAAAACAGAAAGCTATTGCAGTGTATGAATGAACTGACCCCCTTCTGTTATTCCTATTCAATGCCATGCTCACTTGAATGTAGCAGACCCACACACCATGCCACAAAGCTCTGTGATTCGTGGAAAAAGATGTGTCACATCGTATTCATCACATTTAATTGAACGGAACTTAAATCAAAATATTGAGGAGGAACCAATGCCAACTGTAAAATCCCCCTGCCCCTCAACTCTCATTTTGGTCATGGAATATTTATAGTCGGTATTATAATGATTTTATAGTGGCGTCTCATCTCTCAATGTGATACAGTTTAATTATCTACTAATTACAACGTCCACCTCGCTTCTCTGGCTTCTGTAGCCCCACTGTGACGCCCCTGACTGAGAAACAAGGTTATCTGATTAGTAACGTCTCTCGTAGGAAGATTATTAAAATCATATTCAAGAATTTAAACTTTAAACCCTGACTAGAGTATTGCATCAATGCAATTAATCCTGAAATTCTTTAAGTCTATTCACTCACCAATATCAATTTGTTATTCAGTGAAATTACAGCAGCAGTACATTACAAATTCATCAATAACCTAGACATCCCTCTATCGCAAGAATCATAACCGATGTGCCAGAGTTTGCGCCAATCACACAAAAAACGTACTTTTCCAGACACATATTTCTTTATTCTGATTTGATTGAATCATTGCTATGATTTAATACAATATCACTTGCAGTGTCATGAAGAAATTTACAAAAAAATCAGACTTTTTAAGAAAGGTCAAATTAAATTAAATATACAAATTCAAGATTTTACTTTTTGATTATTTTCCTTGTAATGCTTAGAATCCAGCCTCTGAACAATAATACAACTTGTTGTCTCATCTAGTGTCCAAAGAGATTACAAGTAACTGTAAACTTGCATCGCCTCCTGACTCTCTGAGAACATCTAGTGGCCTAGGAGGGCATTGCAGGTCTTTTATATCTTCATATAGGTTTTGAAGTCACTTGTTTAGCATTTGGATTTAATAAGAGTGTCACAGCTGGTTGGGATTTGGGTGATTATATTTGTTACAAAAGTCACTGTAACGTGTGGTGATTGTTGGGTACTGCACCGTCTGGTTTCGGGTGTTCCACTTCCTGGTTCTTAGCTCACAGCTGGGTGTAATGTTGTCATTAGTTCGGGCTATAAAGGTTTTCTAGGAAGTCACCTTGGTGCTTATCATTGTTTGTTACTACGTCACGTTGGTTTAGAGGTGAGTGTGAGGATACACGGATATCGCTGTTTTAGTTTATATTGAGAGTGTTTGTTTAAAGTCGCTATATGCGCACCTTTCATTTAAAACAGTATTGTGTTTTCGCCGTTACGGTTTGTTTTGTGTTTAGTTTCACAATAAACCTTATTTGAACGGTTCCTACGACTCTGCAATGGCTTTCACCGCACTACGCCGCTCCATTCGTGACAGTCACTGGGTGTTGGTGCATAGGGTAGGTTATTCTATATGTCACGCTCCTTCGTTGAATCTTATGGAGAGTGTTGGATTACCGGATTTTGTGCCAAAACTGATAGACCCAGGTGAAAGTTGAAATGGGAAATATGTCCGTCACAGTCACTCAATTTTGTAGAAACATTTTATTTAAAACATTGACCCTAAACATTAACTGCAGATGTCTACAGGTCATGTTCTCTTATTTGTATGCTAGTAGTAGAACTATAGTAGCAGTAGTAGTACAAATCTTGCGTATTGCCCCTTTAACCATTGTCACTTCCAATTTGTGTGAAAATAAACAACAGATGGGCACTGATGAAGAAAAGATAAAATAGTAGAGGTGTTGAGGGCCTTGAGTGATGTGTCCCTCAAAGTGATCATGCCTCGTTTGAGTGTTGGTTGGTTCTGTGAAAGCACTCCAGGGGCACGGCAGCAACGCAAAATTGTCACAAAGATTTTAAAGAAAGAAGATACTTTAAACAATTATGCTTCTTTCCAAAATAGATGGCTACATGCTGTTGCTATCATTGCATGTTTACTACCTGGCAAGACCAACGGCATACACTTTTGGATCGCCAGCTAACAAATGTGTCATTGAAATGAAAGCACTATACTGTTATGCTTACATATACTGTGTTGCCACGCCATGTACATTAACTTATGTACTAACTAAAATACTAATATAGGAGTCTACTTCTTCTTTGGCACTTATTGTTCTGTCTTTATTTTCTTATTCGTAGCTTTTCCTATGTTACACTGGTGTCTAACAAAACATGGACAATACAATCGAATCAGTGTTATGAAGAAATATTTCAAACTAAAGTTGCAATTGTAAGAAGCAATTCCATGAACTAGATGACATTGTTACCCTTCAACATCATAGACAATATTATGTTTCACAGATGCCATACAAAATAACATTAGCACATAATAGATTTCATTTATCAATTCATGCATTTTTCGCAGAATTAACCTGGAAGTTGAAATCAGTTCATGATGTCTCTCTGTAGACAACACATATGCTTGATAAACACTTTTTTCTTTGTATGAATTTATACTTTTAAAATTTTTATATTTTTAATTAACACCAGTAAAGTCAAGGGAAAAATACAATTCTAATGTATCAAATCCAAATGTAAAAAATGTTAAGCAATCAGTGGAAGTAAGATTGTCCACTTCTTAAATACAGACAAATAATTTTTTTATATTACCAGGTAGGCTGATTGAAAAAGAATTCTCATTTGCAACAGCGGCCAGGAAAAAAGCTGAGGATTGAACCCTGGACATTATACATACAAAGCATGCACTGTACCGCTGAGCTACAAACTCAAATAAATTCAACACATTCATTTTTTAAAGCACTTTTAACATCAGACGTTGTCAAAAAGTTCTCATACAGACACTCAGAATAAAACTATGCCACCCTTTTCTGCTTGGCGTAACAAAAACCAAAATTAAACCAAAAGTGTTTTATAAAGGTTACAGTTTTCACGGCATACATTTGTAAAGAAATACATTTCTCACTGGACAAATACAATTATAGCTAATGGTATGCATCACGCTACTGTGAATGGTCATCTCTGCGTGTCGGCTTACATGTCCAACAGAAATATTTCCAGCAATAGTATCACAACCTCACACATCTGTAATTCAGTTTCAGTGATGACAGTAGTGGTTTTGTCAGGTGCATAACAAGTAAGTTCACATATCATTCAATTAAGGTGCTGTTGAACACATTTGTAATTGCGATAAACAGCTAGAAATATATTCCTTACAGGCCTTGGTGACAATATTGCCATCCTGCTGAATGCATGATTAGACCTTCCTGATAGGACCTCCTCAGTCATTGTTCATCTCAGTGGAGAAGTACTATAACGCCTATTTATTTAACCTCTATTTAACCAGGTAGGCTGATTGAGAACAAATTCACATTACTTTTGACCAAATCATTACCAAAAAGCATTTTACAATAAGATCAAGATTCTGAGTATTATCCAGGATTCACAAATTTGAGGTTGCAATCTATCAAGGTGTAAATCGTGATACAAATACATATGTACAATGAGCAAACATTTTAATAGAGTTTATGTGACCAAATTCAAATGCTATTCTCAAATTTAACTTCATTCTCTATTGTCTAGGAATAGCACAAACGATGTGTTAACAATGTTTGCTCATTGTACATATGTATTTGTATATTTGGTTAGCTGCTGAGGCTATATAATTGCAATTATATAGCCTCAGCAGCTAACCAAATAGCAGCTCACTAGCGAAGACAATTTTGCTAGCTTTGTATTTCTGATTTCCCCTTGTTATAGTTAATATTGACTATCGTATAACTAAACCCAAGCAAACCGGGAACTTGCAACCTCAAGATATATGTAAAGCTTAAAAGGGATATACGACAAATATCAATAATGGGTCTAAATTCTTAAATCTCTGCATGCATGCCACTCAAAACGTACGTTTTAAAAATCGACTGTCAATAAAAAACTGTCATTGGTCTCTTGATCATCAATAAACAAATGCTGATGTGACTGTTCCATGTGCTGAGCTATTTGTGTAATCTGTGTAAACTTTGGCTAAAGAGCTAGCAGAAATGCAACTATTCATGGTTTGTGGAAATGGCCTTCTCTGGGGTGTATTAATTATACAATGTACAGTTTTGTACCATAAAAACTAGTGCGGTTATAAGATCTGGATGGATGAATTTTAACAGTCCAGGGCTTTCTATAATGCTGGGAGATTAGTAGACGGCAGAATGATATTTAGCAAAACCGTTAAGTGAAGTGTGAAGTGTTATGACTGCAAGGTTTGTCGCAATCCCATTGGTGTAGTGTTGTGGCAGGAACCAAATGCAGGCATATAATGTTCAATGGATTTATTATAAATAAGCATGGAACTGAAATGTATGCAACTAAACTTGAAATAAAATGCACAAGTCTAATCTAATCAACACAGACCACAGAACACTCATCGGCATGAAGGACATGACCCGAAACAATGAAGCACAAAGACATTGGGAACTGAGGCAACATAAATACACTTACTAATGGGATAATGGTCACCTGGTGTGAATAATTAGAACAAGACAGTCTGGGGTGTGTTCATGGAAAAATGAGACCAGCTTAAAACAAAGTAACAAATATAACGAAAAAAGGACGACTAGTTGTTCTAGTCATCACATTGTTATGATAATGAACTTGTCTCTATCATTCATGTCATTGAACCTTTGTTGCCAAAGGTCAGTCAGTGAAGCTTTAATTCAGTGAGTATTTTTGGAGTGGCAGAGAGAAGAGTTAGCATGCTGCGACAGGTAGGTCAGACTTTATTTTATTAACCTACTAGTTGAGGTTTGGAAAGTCATTATAAGTACTTTTTTATATTTAGCCAATGATTGTGGGGCAGCCGTTCCACCTCAGTTTTCTTTTAAAAGTCTTGGTTATGAATGAGAGGACATCATGTACAAATAACTCATATATTTGGATATTTTTTTTGGCTAAAAGGGAAGGCTGCTTTTTTCCAACTATTTTGGGAGGTTCACGTGGGAAGGTATTTAGCTTAAGAGAGGGCCATGTGTTTTATTTGCAAATATACCCAACTAAGTTTTCTTACCAGTCAAGGAGAAATATGGCCAAATGACTCTTCTGGTCTATTTCAGCCAGGTCAGAGCTCAATTTCTCAAAAGTGGTGTGTATTTATTCAAGTTAGGATACGATAAGGTTTCGCAGTGAATTTAACAATTTCCATACATCTCAATATCTCTTGTGGACTTTCCGATTCAACGAAAGCAACCCTTGGGTACCACCACTTGTTTCAGTTCGTGCCCTTGATAGAATACATGTTGTGTTGTGTTTCTGGCTCTGAAGAGGAACAATGCACCCATTACAGTCTGTCAAGCCCTTCTCCTAAAACATAGGATTGTCAATCAAAATGATAAATGACAGCAACCATACAGAATCGCCTGATCTTGGATTGGCTGTCAAGTACTCTGAGACTGTTTGTCTCGGAAATCATCTGCAAACAATGAAAGTTTGCTATTATGTCTAGGTGACACTCGCCGAATATTTTCCACACAAAAAATCAAGGTGCTACGAAGAAGGTATTTGTACACTGCCTGTCTGACCATAAGTGGGTGAAGCCCCCTCAGCACAAGCTTCCAGTAATTTCATGCAAGAGAGATGATAAAAGTAAAAATAGAGTCTTAAGTCTGTGAGGAAAATGACGGGAGCTTAAGAGGAACCACGCCTCACCGTCTCATGTTATTCCCTCTGACCCCTGAAATGATTGGTCTCTCCAATTACAACCATGTGGGATTACGTTAAATTGATGGTCAACTTGGAATTTTACGATTAGTAAAACCCATTTTTTCTCTCTTCCCATTTTAATGATGCCCAAAAAGGAATGCATTTTGACTTCACCCCAGTTTTCTCCCTAATGTTGTGACAGCCAAATTGTGACCAAGAACTTTCTTCATTAAAACAACTCCCAGCGGACTGATGACAGTTGATGTTCAGATACAGGTCTCCCATGTGTCGAGATCAGAATCGCCGCACTGTGTGAGGAACTCACTCTCCAGACTTCTACCTCTAACACAACTGTTGGGCTCGACAAGTCATGGCAAATATATTCGATTAATAATAAACCCCCCCAAACCTGAAATGTGCTGGCCAACTGCACTCCCCTGAGCAAATGCACTGTGAGGCTGTGAATTCACCACTGTGCACCATGAAATTACAATTTTCAATCCAGAATGACGCTGTGGAACAGATCTTCAGCCCAAACCTAATATTAAATATATATCCTTTTAACAATCATTGCAATTAAATATGTCCCGTTGTAGTCGATCACGATCTTCTTACATTGCAGTGGAATCTTTGTGTCCCACTTAACTCTGGTGAACCGCTTTAACGCTGCAACATTTGGAGGTTATTATATACTGCTCATTTAAATTCACGCCACATCATCTGAATGAACTGTGGACCCGGTCATAGACTGGGCCATTATAACATTTAATATAAACTGCTTTTCATGAATGCTAATGTAGATTTTCAAATGTGTTATGGCTGTTTTGTCGCACCTAACCTAGATGAACTTTCCCATTCTCTTTAAGAAGTGACCCAGAGCAGATCTAATCGTTTCTTCGTATCCACTTATTCGCTTTAGTCCTCGTCCACCATTTGTACGTCACGTGCCTCTTGTTTGTAAACATTTTATGTTTTTGCATGCTTTAATTGGCACTATTTTCGCACATTGCTCCATCAGTTTAGTTTGACTGCATATTTCATTTTAATTATTTGTCTCTAATTGGTAAAGTGCCCCAATTCAATAATTGATATTTGCAATTTTTATTAAAAGATTACCTTTGCACAAAGGTAAAAACTATTTTAATATGTGTCCCCTTCCAAACACCCATTTTTATAATAACTAAACACATTGGGTGTACGCTGTGCTAGTCTGAAAAGCACAGCTAAGGATAAAATAGCACATGACTCACGCAACAATTATTATATTAGTATTGGAGATGTCTAATTATATGTAGCCTGTGATGAGTCTGCCATCTGTAATTTAAAGGCTCCAGCCCTCCTGACCTTTTCCCAGTCATTTGCAGACCCACCAGCCCCCTGGGCATATTGTCTGTGCCACACTATTCCCAAACAGCGTTCCCGACTGCCGATTGCAACTGCAGATGCCAGGTCTGCCTTGAGACCAATAACTTGTGATTGTGTTTTTTGTTTTTGCGTGCTATTTAGCCAGAGCCACATGTGCTTTCCCCTGACTGGCTTAAAGCAATTATAATAGTGTTGAAGTGCCATAAGCCTGGATCCAGTAAGAAGACAATTAGGTGTGGAATAGAAAACAAACGTCGTTCGATTAGGAAGAGGGTTCTAACTGCATTAGGTTAGGTTCTAACTGCAATTAGGTGTGGAATAGAAAACAAACGTCGTTCGATTAGGAAGAGGGTTCTAACTGCATCTTTTTCTAATCTTTTTAAAAGTAATTTCTTTACCATATCTACTTTTTTCAAACCCCTCAAACTAGTAAAATGACAGCCTTAAAGCCTTATCTTAAATATTGTTTGACATTTCATGTTAATTCCAGAAGCCTCTAATGAGATAACCTACACGTACACTAGCCACGTTTTTTATCCGCCGCATAAATTCGCATAGACATTGATTCGTTTGGATTGACGTGTGGTCTCCTCATAATCACTTAAGACACTCACAGTTCTATCAACCCCACCCTAAACCACCCTGGACTAGCTACTATTCCATTTAATTTGTTATGGGAGAAGGAGACAAGTCATTTTGCTGTTTAATTTCAGTTTT